TTTGCTTTGATTGTGGTTTATCTTCTAGGAGCACCCTCAAGAACTAACGTAGACTAAACCGTTTTCAAACTAATTCTCAATTCGTCATCGAGCCATTTTCAAACACCCCTATAATTCGAGTGCTCGTACACATTCGCCATCAACCTATCGCACACACTTTCACATTTCATCGTGGTTTCGTTATTAGGAGCACCCTCAAGGACTAGTATCGTTTCTCACAACCTAACCCTCGATTTGTCGTCGAGCCGGTTCCATCTTCCGTTTCCCGCCTATCCCTTCCCGTAGTCGAACTACGAGAGCTCTGATTTCTCATTCTCGTCCGAATGAGCATACGTAGGTACAATGACCCTAATCCTTGTTGAGCACTCTATCCTATAACCATCCATTTTCCCTTAGCGTCTTTATCCTTTTATCGTACTGTTCTGCATTTATTATTGAGAAGAAAACAACTAAACTTAGCTAACGTTCATCATAATTCAAACTAAGAGGTTCCCGTTGAGTACAACGGACGTGAGGAGTGCTAATACCTTCCCCTTGCATAACCGACTTCCGAATCCGGAACATTGGTTGCGACGACCATCATTCTTATCGTCTTTTAAAAGGTTTTCTCGATATTTTCCTTTCCCGTCTTTTAGGATAGATAAAGTTCGATGATGACTTTGTCAAACCGCATTCCGCACCTTTAGCGCGAGGGTCGTGTTCTCTTTGATTTTTTCGAGGTGCGACAGGGACCTCGTACCAAACATCCAGGGTGAATGAACAGAGACCTATACGAGAAAAGATATCTAAAGGGCGTGGAACCGATGACATGTATGACTAAATCAGTTGTCGTCGTTAACATTAAAAAATATTATCGTATGTAATTTATATTTAAATTAAATATTAATACTTTTAATCATTTTTATATAATTTATTATTTTAATTAAAAAGTATTACAGAGACATCAAATAAATTGACGTCTCTTTCTAAATATTATAGATAAACGTTAATTGAATTGGTTAGACTTATTAAAGATATATACCAATTCAATTGACACTAGTTCTAATTCTTTTTAAATGCATACGCCAATCGAATTGATTTTGCTCATATAAATACTTTAGGAATTAATTGAGAAATTTGATTTATTTTAAAATTTTAAAATTATTTTGTTAAAAAGTTATAATATTTATTTCATAGTTTGTGAACATTAACATAATACTACTATCTATGACAAATCCGTACCATCGCACATGCACATGTTGAGTTGTCCATTTATTGACAAAAATGGTTGGATGTCTGTATAGTCAGTGAATCACAATTATTGCCTAAAAGTAACAAGTACTCTGGTTAGGTGTCTATACTATAGTAAGGGAAGCAGAACCACTGTAACAAGTACCAGTGCTCTGTTTATATGTCTACCGGGACTATTTTGTAGAATCAATAAACGTTAATGGTTATAAATGGGGCCATATCTTGTTTTTTTTCTTCTTTTTCTCATTTTCCGCATTAAATTTTCATATATATATATATATCTATGTTATAAGAACCATATAACTACTTTATCTATATCTATAACATTTGCCATCATACAAAACATATTTAAATAAAAAATTGCACTCACAACAAAAAAGTATTTGTTATAAAAATATTGATTTAAAATTATAAAATCTCTTTTGAGATAAATTGCAAGCACAAAATAAAAATGTTCTACTTAAAACATATAACATATTAAAAATTTGAAAAAATATATTGTTCTTTAAAAATATATTGTCAAAGTTTTAATTTGTTTAAATAATTTATTTTAATATTATGTATAAATAATATAAATATTTAAAAAAAATTTCTCTTAATTTTTAACTGAAACCGAGAGATATGTGGTGTTTGGGGATAAAATATATTTTATTGTATTTTTTATCTAAAAAGAAACACATTTTACCTCAGATTTAATTAATAACCAAAGTAAAATATAAGTGTGTTTATTCAATTTCTTTACTGTCGAAAAACAAATTTTTATTGGTATCAACGCTCAAGACACTACAAATTTTTATTGGTATCTTCATAATCAAAATATTTTGAATATTAAAATTTAATAATGAAACATTTAACATGAGATTTGAAACTTAAGAAATTGTTATTTAAAATTCACAAAAATGGATTTTCTTGGTCGTAAGAACATACAATTCTTTAGGTTCAAGATTTATGTTCTTAAATAATAATATAACATAATATTTATTTAATTTTCTTTTATATCATACATTTGATATTTTTCAACATCAATAAAACAAGGATCACAAATATTTTTTCTTTAACATATTCAACATTTGTTCAAATGTATTTAACATATTCAACATTTGTTCAAATGTAATATCATGCATAGACAATATAATATTCTGTATTTATAAATAAATAAATTTATTAATGTTCTAGATATGCCAAAAAAGATCTTTAGCAGCGCTTTTTTAAAGCGCTGTCTTAGACCCCACCTTTAACAGCGCTTTTCTAAAGCGCTTTCTTAGAGCCCCCTTTTCCAACCTATAGCAGCGCTTTTTTAGGCCTCTTTTTGCCCCTTTAGCAACGCTTTTTTTAAAAGCGCTGTCTATTCTTCACGATTTTGAATTTTTTTTTTAAAAATAATCACATTTTTTATATATTTTTCAATAAACCTGCTTATAACAAATACATTCTCTGCTTATAATTCAGGTCTTTAGTTCAACAGTTTGGCCTTATATATAACAATTATTTTGGCCTTATTTTTGTGTATTCATCAATTTGCAATATTATACACAATAATTAAAGTATACATTATAATTCATCACTTTGAAATATTATACACATAAACCTGCTTAAATATATTACAACACAGTCCGATCCTCAGAACAAAATCACATATACAATCAATTCACATATAATTACAAATCTGATAACTTTACAAATAGATACAATATCAGATGTCACATTAGGAAGAAATAAACTTAACAATCTTTACTTGACTATTGAATTCTGTATGAGACTGCATGGAGTTCACTATCAGCCACAAATACACGATTTTCTTCAAGCTTTGTATCATTATTCAATTGAATGTAGGATTATGATGTATAAATATTGGTGTGTATCATCATGAAAAATTACCGCATATAAAGTGGAATCAAATTGTAGTAGAGAATTAATCTTCCATGCATTAAGGTCTGACTCCAAGAATACTGTCACTACGGCTGATTGTAATGTTGAAATGAAACACATCCAAGCTGACAATGATAAATAATTAGGATGACTTTTGTAAACTGGAACCTGAAAAATATATAAGGGTGAAATGTTATATGTTATATGTTATATGTTATATGTTTATACAAACATAAAGCTGTATGAATGATCTATACATTCTAAAACTATATCCACATTCATGAAGACACGTGAATTCATTAAATGTTGTGTAACTCGCCAAACAAACTTTATTTCAAAAAAGTTGTCGGATCTATATATTTATGTTTTAAAATTTAATAAATAAATAAGGATTATTTGTGAATTTAGACTATTTCATAGAAAAATAAAGATTAAGAAAAATAAATAAATTTCAAGATTAACAGAAACTTAAAGCTTTCATCTAAATCACAAATAGTGTGAAGTTTCTAAAGCAACATAATCTAAAAAATCATTGAATATATGTGTAGTATTTCCCTTATAAAAATTATTAGTAAAAAGAACTCATATAAGGTGTGGCATTTCAGCAAACACCTTGTATACGGCTAGATATAATGAAAGTTAACATAAGTAAATTCATTGTGGCATTTCAACAAACACCTTGTATACAAAACTCAAGCCAATATCAAACGAGTAATTTTCATCAACGGTATCAACAAAAACAAGTCAAAAACTCAGAAAAGAAGTAACACTAACATCATATAATCCAAAAAAATGAAATACTAAGACATTAATCCAGAAAAATGCAAAATGAAAAACTTCAAATACCGTAACAATGGACGGACGACGGCAGAATGAGGTGACGACGGAATGACCGGAGGAAAGACGACGAACGGAGGCTGTCGGACGGAGGCGCGGACGGAATGCGTCGACGGTGACTGCTCTAATTCTGAATAGGGCAACATTCGCGAGTGGAAATAAGAAAGAAGAAGACTGTTCTGATTCTGTGAAAATATTGGAATTTTTTAAATTTATGCTACTTAAACCTATAGCAGCGCTTTTAAAAGCGCTGCTATAGGTTTGCCTTAGGACCCCCTTTAGCAGCGCTTTTTTTGGCATTTAGCAGTGCTTTTAGAAGCGCTGCTATAGGTATGCCTTAGGACCCCCTTTAGCAGCGCTTTTTTTGGCATTTAGCAGCGCTTTTAAAAGCGCTGCTATAGGTCTGCCTTATGACCCCCTTTAGCAGCGCTTTTTTAAAAGCGCTTTCGTAGACCCCTCCTTTAGCAGCGCTTTTTTAAAGCGCTTTCTTTGACCCCCCCTTTAGCAGCGCTTTTTTAACAAGCGTTGTCTTAGGTATGCTATTTTTTTTTTTTTTTTTTCATGACCCTTTAGCAGCGCTTTTTTAGAAAGCGCTGTCTTTTGTTGCGCTGCTAAAAGTCATTTCTGACGTAGTGTCTATATATATATAAAAGCTAAAGCTATTCAAACAGGAAATTTATATACACAGTGCTGTAATGAAAATTTATAATACCGTACGTGTCGTTTATTAAAAACTAACAAGAGTATATGTTTCTCAAATGAACATACTCCTTAATGATACAAGAGGTTTATCATATGAATCATAAGCCAAAGCATTACCGTAGCTATTGTGCTGTTAATAAGCCAAATCAAGCATTTAGTGTTACGACACATTAGCCATAGCAGCATAGTGAATATAGAGGTAGGAGCTATATTTTTTACTTGCCACTCTTTGTGTCAGTCAACTTTGAACTGGTGAATTATTGAGTTTTCCCCAGCTTTTATGTATATATATATAGAGAGAGATAGGTAGGAGCTATACTTTTTATAGCAAATTGTGTAATAGAAGATAGACACACCACATAATGGACAAATTCATTGAAGAGGTTGAAGAGCCGGTTAGTCCTCATGGACAATATTTCAACAGCTCTGTGATATGTTCATATGTTTTTGCCTTTTTAGAATTAGCCATTCCATTTGATAACTCACTAGCAATACCTTTGATCGAAGATGTCTTCCTCCCTATCAATCCACGTTTCTCCTCTATTATGGTTCTATATAACTCTTCCATGTTTCACTAATTGCTACTAGTTCTTTACATTTTAATAATTATTTATTTTAATTTGCAACAGGTTAGAGACAAAGATGGTAAGAAGAGATGGCAAAAGATTGAAGTGAAGCCTGAAGAGCATGTCAAGATTCCTAAATTTCCTGAAACTACAAACTCATCACCAATTGAATTATATGACAATTATTTTAGCGACTATGTAACCAGTATTTTCATCGAAAGAACACCACAAGACAAACCACTTTGGGAAATTCATATTATAAATTATCCAACAACAAATGCTGCTAGCACTATAATATTCAAACTTCATCATTCAATTGGTGATGGTTACTCTCTCATGGGTGCTCTTCTTTCTTGTCTTCAAAGAGTTGACAATCCTTCTCTTCCTTTGACTTTTCCTTTGCGTTCACAATTAGATTCAAAATATACAGATAAAAGCTTATTTAAGAATCTATATTTAGATATATCTTCCATTTTTAGCTCTATATTAGATTGTGCATCAAGCATAATCAAGACAAGAATGATTCCAGATGGCATATCACCTATAAGATCGGGATATGAAGGAATTGATTTTCAGCCGACTGTCTTATCAAACATATCATTATCTCTTGATCAACTCAAAGAAATCAAATCAAAACTTGGAGTGGTAAGATTAATAATTTTTTTAAAGCTTAATGCGACGTACTAACTCAATATTAACTATATAAACTATCTTATTTTAACGGTGCAGACTATAAACGACGTGGTTTGTGGGATGATTTTCTATGGACTTAGGCTATACATGGAAGAGATGAATGAGAAGACAAAGAGAGCAAATTCCACGGCAGTTGTAATGCTCAACACGAGAAATATTGGAGGTTATCAATCATTGAAGGAAATGCAAAAACCAGAATCCAAAAACCTTTGGGGGAATAAATTATCTTTCTTACAAATACCAATACCAAAGCTAAACCAATCAGGAATTTCCAACCCTCTTGAGTTTGTTTGGGAAGCTCGTGAAGTAATAAAGAGGAAGAAAAGTTCTTTCAGTGTTTATCTCATAGGTTTACTCATGGATTTGGAGATGAAATTAAGAGGGCCTGAGGTGTGTTACACAATAATATTTAACAAGTTATCTTAACTCTTAAGTTTGATTTAACAATGCTGTGTATTTTATTGAGTTTGTGTTTCAGGCCGTATCTAGAGTAATTTATGACACTATTGGAAATACAAGTGTTCTTATCTCAAACTTGGTGGGGCCTGTAGAAAAGATGGCTTTGGCAAATCATCCAGTAAATGGGTTGTATTTCACAGCTACAGGTGGACCACAGGTATATAAATTTCAGAAGTAACTAAACTCATTCTCAATGATAAAATAATATCTCAAATATAGTTCTATTTTGATTTATCTTTTGTGTATGGTTGTAGGATACAACGATTACAATTATTAGCTATGTGAAAACATTAAAAGTGACCATAAAAACTCTAAAGGGATTCATAGATGAACGGAAACTGAAGTTCTGCATGGAGAAAGCAGTTGAAGTCATATTCAAAGCATCTATGGAGATCTCTGAGATATCTACCATAGATTAATTGGTTGATCCTATTATGCGTGCAGGATATATTCCATTTTGTGTTTGAGTTATTTGTAGTCTGAGATGTATTATTGTCCATTGCATGTGCGGTAGTTGGTTGAACTAAGTTCTTGTATTGTTTTGTAGTTGTTTACTTTTCCAATCAACTGTTTTTGTATGGTTGGTACCTTTCACTCGGGTCTATTTGGTTCTTAGGTTTTTAAAATATTTCACAGTTGAATGCATGTTTTTAAATTGCATTCAACAATCACAATTGCGGACGCAATATTGCGGATGCGGTAGTTCTTGCAACCGCATCAGATTGTGGTGTGATTTAAGATCATGCATCTGAACGTTTTTGAAACCACTTCAGACAATGTTATCCATGTTTTTCCAAAGTATTTTCATCAAATCTCCAAATTTTAGTAACAAAAATCTCAATTTATTTTTAGATATAATGAAGAATCTTAACATTCAAGTGTTTTTCAAGGTGTATTTAAAACACCACTTAATAAAAATTCATGCCGCAACGCGTATCATAACAACAATTATCCCGCAATTACAATATCTTCAACCGTATCTGCAATTTAGAACCATGGTTGAATGTACTCTTTTTAAAATAATAACAATAATAATTTAAAACATTTCATTAGTGAAATAAAATACATAAGTTGACACATGCAATTATGCTACAGATAGTTTGTATAAATATTGCAATGTCATTCCGTATAATTAAGGTTAAACAAAATGATAAATATTAAATAAATGATTTTACTGAAATGATTACAATAAAAATGAATTTTAAAGTGATTGAATATTGAAGTGGCATTTCAGCCCTTTTTATCTTTATAGATAGATAGGTTTTTTATCAAAAAATCTACTGAGTCTGCAGATTTCAACAACAGTTTAAATCTCAAGCATCTCATACATTGATAATCTGTGCATCAAGAGGTAGATGACACCGGCTTGCCGAAAAAATAGGAGTCGTGAAGTAACTTATTGTCCAAAAGCTCAAAATCATAGTTATCATCAAACATCTATTTTGTTCTTATGTTCATTGATCAATCATCAAATGCCATTTTAAGTGCATCAAAGTCATTGGCTTAAACTTTTAGTCTTAAGACTAAAGGCTTTGGCTCTTGGTGTTCTTTTTTAGTTCTTTGGGTTTTTGATGTTCTTTTCTGATTCTTGCATTGATGGATGCTACTTGGACGGATGTTAGGCGAAAACAATGCAAACAAATCAATAAGATTTCAGTTTGAAAAGTCAAGTTAGGCTGCGAGTTTGGATAGCATTCAAATTGAAGGCAAGCAAATCTTTGCAAATATTCCTATATTCATTCCAATGAGTTCGCATGGGAGCTATGCCAAATAACACTAACAAGTTGAATCTTGGTGTTCAACAAAGAAACTAGCATTCAAATATGGGGAAAACTAGTATTCAGGGGAAAAAATGATTTTTGCTCATATGATGTTCAATGTAAATGAATCGGAGATGGAACGATTCCAAAAAGCATTTGTGGGTATTGTTGACTAGGATGACTCGACTTATAGAATTCAAGACGCCTTCAATGCGGAAGACTATTTTAATATCAAAGTAACCTTTTAGGAGAAAGTCGTTGTCCACTCGAAGAACAGGAACTCAGAGAGCTAAAACTGCTAGTAGAAGAAGAGCATTCTTGGTTGAAAAATTTATTTGACGAGATTCACCCTTGTTCTCCAAAGGATGTTGATATGGAACGTCTAACATGGATGAAGTGTTTCAGATTACCTTGCCATGCATGGAATCATTGATTTTTCAAGTTCATATCGGGGTGTGTTGGTTAATTTGTTTGCTGTGATGAAGAGACATATAATCAAGTTAATCTGGATGTAGAAAGATTTTTGGTTAAAACAAAATTTTCCATGGATCTGAACCAAGTTTTTAACGTAGAAATTAATGATAAAGTATATCGTATTAAGCTTACAGAAGATAATCATTGTCCGGAAAGAATAATAGTTACAAAAAAGGTGGAAAGGGTGAGCGACACAGAGAGTTCATCATCATACTTAAATGACGATGATATCGGTGGCGTGTGGGAATCACTATCAGAAACGACGACATCGACATCAGAGAACTGAAGAAAAAAGAATAACAACATGGAAGGAAATCTGGGAGGCTTAAGCTCCAAAATTCATAGGTACGCGGTACCGGCTCACTGGTTCATTCAATCGAACCCCGGATAGATCACATACACCTCTACATGGTAATGATCTATCCCCACCATTCTCCACAAAGGAGTACGGGTGAATCACTTATGCTCCTCCTGAGACATGATTCGACCCCACCAAAACACCATGATATGCAAGACACCAAATGCATACTAATCAGTTCAAGCACACTAAGTGCACACGATGCTACTGATCACATCAACATACAACATTCATATACCACACGCGTCACCATGCACCATACACTTAGTACACATCAGTCAATTATATTGGTTAAGTTTAATATCATAAAATTTCACTTTTTAACATCAATTATGCACTCCTCATTATTAAACTTCATTTCTACACCAATCACAACCCAAGGGGTCTTCTACAACAAGAGTACGGAGTCAAACAGCAAAAATCCTATTTTTGGCACCTCAGACTGGCCATACACGTATTGGCCTGTGCCATACGCGTATGCCTCACAAAAACACCAGGCCATAAGCGTATTACCTCCTCATACGCGTATGCCCAGGGGAAAATTTCCCCTCAATACGCGTACCACCCTCCCATACACATACTGCCTAGTCCTATACGTGTACCATACACGTTTGGGCAGAGGGTCGTGTCACAGTTCCCTCCCCTGCCACTCATACGCGTATTGCCTCACTTTTTCCCCCTTCCATACGCGTATGGACTAGTCCCATACGCGTATGGCCAGATCCCATATGCATTTGACCAGAGACGTCTCCTCTGCATTTTCTGCTACGAATTCTACTATTCCACACTTCTAATCAGTCTATTATGTTACTATTCTTGGTCCTAGGCCTGTAATTATCATCTATGTTGTGTTCTAACATTGTTACTACGATTCCATCCTACTCCAATTCGTTATCCTATCAGTTTTCCTCTCTAGAACTCATCCTTATGTTCTTCAATGTTATCACAATCAATTATACAGAAGTTCACCAAAATCACACCAATCTGTGTACGAATTCATCATCAACAACAACAACAACCAGCATATCATCATACAATTCATATTCATACAATTCTTACGGGGTTAAGGAATCCCCTCCTCTACCCAATTCATGCATAAATCAATTAAAACCAGTTTCTCCCCCTTACCTCGATTGCTTGATTAAATTGCTGCTGAATTCCTGCGAATTTCGATTGCTTTAGCCTTGTTCTTGCTCCTACTTGATCTTCCTCCTTAACCTTTCTCTAAACCAGTTTATCGTGTAATTCCCTTTTTGTTTTATCTCCAAAACCCCTAATAACTCTTAATCCCAATTTTAATTACTAACCTAATAATAATGCAAATAATAATAATAATAAAATAACAATATTACTACTAATTATTAAATTATTATCATTATTAATTATATTATATTATTATTATACTCTTATTATATTAAACAATTATTATAATCGAAGGACACTCTCTAACGCACTCAGACACACTCCCACATAAGGGCACCCAAAGTAAAATAACACCAAAAAGACTAAATAATTCAAATGGGTGTTACAACTCTCCCCCACTTTAATTATTTTCATCCTCGAAAATTACTTGATGGAAACAATTCAGGGTACGCTCCCCGCATCCTGCCTTCCAATTCCCAGGTCACACTGCCTCCTGCAGCACCTCCCCAAGCTACCTTCACCAAAGGTATCTCCTTCCCTCGGAGTTGCTTCATCTTACGATCTTCGATCCTCAATGGCATCGTCTCAACCGTAAGATTCTCCCTGACTTGCACCTCATCTCTCGGAATCACCTGAGATGGATCCGAGACATACTTTCGAAGTTGCGACACATGAAACACATCATGCAAATTCGAAAGCTCAGGTGGCAACGCCACCCTATAAGCTACATCACCAATCCTTTGCAGAATCTGATACGGTCCAATAAACTTAGGATCCAGCTTCTTGGACTTCAATGCACGACCTACACCGGTCACCAGGTTAACTCTTAAGAATACATGATCACCCTCACTAAATTCTAATTCTTTTCTCCGCTTATCATGATAACTCTTCTGCCTACTCTGAGATGCTTTCATCTTCTCACGGATCATCTGAATTGTCTCAGTAGTCTGTTGCACAATCTCTGGTCCTAAGACCACATTCTCACCTGTCTCATACTCCGATACTAGAATGGTAACTGTTGTTGTACGTGAACTCAATCAATGGTAAATGAGTATCCCACGCACCACCCTTTTCAAACACACAAGCTCTAAACAAGTCTTCCAGCGGCTGAATAGTCCTCTCTGATTGACCATCAGTTTACGGATGATAAGCCAAACTCAATTTCAACTTAGTACCCAAAGCTTCCTGTAAGCTATTCCAAAATTCTGAAGTAAACCTCGGATCTCTATCCGACACGATACTCGACGAAACACCATGTAGCTTCACAATTACCCGAATATAAATCTCTGCCAGCTTCACCAATGGAAAACTAATATCAATCGGCACAAAATGCGCAGACTTTGTAAGCCGATCCACAATCACCCAGATAGCATCAAATCCTCTCGCCGTATTCGGCAAACCAGTAACAAAATCCATAGTTATACAATCCCATTTCCAAACCGGAGTTTCCAATGATTGCATCAACCCAGAAGGTCTCTGATGTTCCACTTTCGACTTCTGACACGTTAAACAGGCATAAACAAATTGAGCTATGTCTCTTTTCATACCGGACCACCAAAACAACTTCCTTAAATCATGGTACATCTTCGTAGCTCCCGAGTGGATACTCAAACTACTATGATGTCCTTCACTCAGAATTGACTTTTTCAGCTCGTCATTATCTGACACACAAATCCTGTCTCTG